GTAAAACAAAAAAAAAAAAAAAAAAAAAAAAAAACTCCGTTGAAGTAGCGAATTCTTTTATCGAAATTGTCGTTCGACGCGGTCTTTGATCGCGGACTTTACTTTGGTATTTTATGAAAAGCGATTGGTAATGAATAGATGCGTTTAAAATTGATGTACAATCAATGAATAAGGGGTCGGGAAGTTTTGCAAAACTGGTTTTGACATAATCGACTAGTCGTCTTTTCTTTTCTCTCTCATAACACGCTGCTCGTTAGTTCTTCAGAAAGAGAAAGTGCACCTCGTAGATAGGTCATTGAAGCGAATCAAGTAACGGGTTATTCAAATGGATAATTGAACTTGATGTGACGAGCTCCTTCAATAATGCCGTTTGAGTATATCGAGAGAGATTTGCTACCTTTTTTCTCGAATGCTCTCTTGACTTGAGAAAAAAAATCCGTCGTATGTGGACAAATTCTGTATCCAGTTTCACGCATCTAGGTGTGTGCAATTACATACAAATTATGAGATTGAGAGGATCTCACATACGATTGTACGTAATCAGATGTGTGCAATTTGTCCGCACACGAACGACTTTTTTTTCCTCGGCTATCTTTTTTTGTAAAACAAAAAAAAAAAATACGTATTTTGCAACACATTGCTTCGCACATAGTACAAAACTGAGATTAAATAAATATCTCCGCGGAATCTAAACGTTCTTGTGTAAAAATTGCGACAATACGTTCGTATATTGTTCAGTGATGGAAAATGATATACTTGTACTGATGTAATTGAAAAAGAAAGAGAAAGGAAAGGAATAGATACGGTTGCGTTCCACAAACGGTGTACCCATTACATTTGTTCGAAGATATAACGTATATAAACAACACGGTTTATAATTGCACCGTGAGAGAGATTGCTTATTAGAAAGATATAAATTCAATTGAAGACATAAAATGGCACAGATCGATTGCTTGTCTCGCGAAATACCGGTCGTAAATTAGAGCGTTTTATAGTTGATAGAAGTAAGGTATGTGTTTTCGTTCAGGGGATAATTAAAGAATATTATAGTTTTGTGTGATGTATATTGTGTATATATATACATATATATATATATTGTGCATATATATATATATACAATATACATCACGTTATATATATATATATAACGTGTGTGCTGCATCTGCGAAGGACAAAATACAATAACAGAAGTATAAACATTTTTGTATAAAATTTTCACATCAACTTTGTAGATCAACTAGTGGGTAGGTTTACGATTGATATTAACGGTTGGATGTACGTGCAAATATATTTTATCATGAGCTTGAATTTGTTGTAATTTTTGTACATTTCTTTACATAGTTTTTTTTGTTAACAAATTTGCTTGTTTTTTTTTTTTACCTGGTTTTTGTCTACATTTTATATAAGTTGTGTTGCAAATTTTTTGAGGTAAAAATTGTTTTTCATCCAGTTTGTGGTGTCTGACGAGTTTTACGATTATAAACTTTCAGTCGTTATCCGCGACAAGGCAATCTTGGTTCGAGTATATCGTTAGCCAACTGGTTTGGTGGATCGTCTTCTTTCTTCAGTTCTCCCGGCTTTTATTTCCCTAAAAGGGAAAAAGTTGTAGCGCTCTTAGATCGTTACGTCGGCTTTTCTAAAAAAAAACAAACGAACGCTAAGGATCACAATTCATTACGTTTCCGCATTAATTTTCGCAATCTTGAGAACGCCTCTTCGAGTCGAAGAGAACGAACGTCTTCTTGTCGAGGTCGTCGTCGTGCCGCACTAACAGAGTCTACCTCCGAGCTTTCCGCAGATTGCTTGCGAACGCTTGACGACTTACGTCACGCACTTAAATTGGAGCTGTTTGAACGACGTTTTCAGGCGACGAAATCAAACCCAGCGACTCTGTTCTCCGAACGGTCCAAGATGAAACTGGACTTAGCTAGGAGATTAATCAAACCCGAACTGAACTTTGACGAGAACGACTTCGACGTGACGACGGTCGCTTATTCCGGCAAACCGAGAGAGATTTCGGCGGTCAGCGAGAGCAGGAACGTAGAAAAGACCACGAGACCGAGCAACCAGTTCAGCGCCAACGCGAGTTTGATCAGTGAAAACGCGCAGAAAGAAAAATCGGTCGTGGGAAACAGATGGAAGACGCTGGTGACCAGAAAACTATCGCCGAAGGATCGAAATAACGAGGGTTTGCTCAGACTGCTTGCGAACACGAAGAATCGATCGACTTCCGAAAGAACAGTTACGTCTGCGGAAGGAAAAAGTTCCACCGAATCTAACGTTGTAACGCGTGGAATTTCGCATCGCAGCACCATGTCCAGAACAGAAACAACCGCCACGACCATCGGTACGACGAGAGTTCGACCCGCGACATCGCAAACCGTAGCAGCATCGAGGGAGGAAATCTCGACGTTGGCAAATACAGAACCTGAAGACGCGAACGACATCATCACAACCGTCGAACCGCTTAAATTGAACAAAATATCTGCCGAAGTAACTGAATTCAATAAACAAGAGCACAATGTTAACGAAGCACAGAAGAAGAAAATTGCTACCACCGCAACATCAGACGTCACACCAATTGCAGAGACGTTGAAAGTGCAAACCATCACGGAGTTTCCTCAGGAAATCACGCTGCCAGCGACCATCACCACTCCAAGCAGCGCGTATTCTTCATCCGCGTCGTCGGAAAAGGTGTATCCCGTTTATCCCGTTTACATCCCCACGAAGAAACGCTCGTCGGAAGAGAAAATCGAATTTGAAAGCGAGACAACCAAGAACAATTTTCGACCACGTTACACGAAGCAACAGCAATCAGAGAAGGTAGCGGTGTCTATGGTGACGTCGAGAACCGTCGGTCCTACCAGCAGGTACATCAGGAAGAAGGCGGGAGTCTTCACGCCGTACGACGCCGTGCCGAAGCCGCTCAGCACGGAACCGCCGCTGACGAAGCGACGTGACTTCCGTCCAAGAACCGCGACCTACAGACGACACTCAGAGGTGCCGACCAGCCAGCTCGTAGTTCAGAACTCGACGACGGTGGAAACCACCAGTGTTACTATCACGCCGAAACCGACCAAGTTCAGCGACCAACTCGTCACCCCGAGCACTCGCTCGTCGCCGTCCGAGCCGCTCGTCAGCGTGAGAATTGACACTTCGAACGACACCACGTCGCAGGTGTCCGGCATCACCGAGAGCAGCAACGGCAACAGTGGCAATTCCAATATCTTCACTCCCGCCAGGGTCAATGCAGGAAACGCCACGCTGTTGGAACAACTACGGAGCACCGTGGCACCGCTCTTGAACAATCTGGGCAACAAGACTCCCGTCTTTTCCGGAGCCTACTCCAACGTGGACACCGGGGTGAGTGAACAGGAAAATATCGCAACTTATTTTGTATCAAATTTAAGTTGAATATCCTAAGACAATTTTATTAAAACAATGTGACTTTTTACAGGAATGTTCTTCTCTCTGTTTGTAAAACAGTACAATTTTTCCTGTAGTTTTAAATAATAAAACACAATTTTGATTTCCTCATGCAGAATTCGGCACCTAGAGTAACGCCTAACGGTTCCCCGCCGAGATTCAGCGCGAGATACAAGGGTGCGGAATTGTTCGTGAGAAAACCGTCCGTTGGTCAACAAGCTTTGGTACCGTCGCTCACGACGTCGTCGACCACAGCCTCGACGCCGCTAGAGGTAAGACTTTTGAGGATTTTGGAGAGAATTTTATGAAATGGGAATATTATACATAGACATGTCACATCGAGGAGAGAGAGCTGAAGCTTTTCTTGTCTCATTAACGCATATTGTAACTACCTTCTAATTACATATTGCGTACAACAGTCGAACATAGAACGTAATACAATTTAAAACTCTGTGTGTAGCTTTATGTGCTTTAATAATACACCACGTTTTCACCTTGTGATACAATAACTCTCATCAGTTTACGATGAATGCAACTATATCGTAATGTGTTATCGCTCACAATGTTTACCGCGTGTTGTGTATTAACAGAAGATTTTTTGTTTTCTCACAAGCGTGTACCCTCCCTCAAAAAAAGGCGTATGTTATATATAAATAATTTGTGCGATAATTACACGTACATAATATACACACACATAATCACTTAGGCTTGACTTAACACTGTTCTAAGGCAAATTTATTCGCACAATCTCACACGTGTCTCACGTACATGCGTATGTATGGAATATCTCGTTCACGCTGTGTATACACTTTTTCATTAGTAGTTGGTCTGAAGTGTAAGAACATAGGCTTTGAGTTAAGTTTTGTAATAAAAATCGTGACGGAAAGATGCCAAAAGGTAAGGCGAAGTTACGTTGAGGTAATTTTCTGTGCTTAAAAGGTGTTCCCTACGAAGGTACCAGAGGCTTCCGAAGCAGTCGCACCGTCGTCATGGGCCCAGTCTATCTACGTCACTACCCCATCAAGCGATCTCACTCATATCGATGCAAACAGCCTGCGTTAATCTCTGACCATTTTCCGATTCACAATGAGAAACAGATTTCGCTTCCATTCGCGCTTTCCTCATTTTTCTTTTTTTCTTAGCAATAAGAAAAGTTTTAAATCAAACAAATCGCCTATTTTTCCAAATTACATTAACAACAGCTTTGTCAATTGGCACAATGTATGTATATCTGTGAATGTATTAACGCACCGTCGCTTCGCACAATTGTCATAGTTATGTTATTTCATCATATTAGGGATTAGATTAATTTACGAAATATCACTAAAAACATTTTAACATTCAGGAGATGGATTTGCATCGGGGGAAATAAAACGAAAACAAGAATTAATTTAATTTATTAACTACGGTCAAAAAGATTAATGCACGGTCATCGATCATGTCACGATCATGATCACATTATCTTACGGCACTCACGCATTGTTGCATCATACACTTATACATGCAAATATATATTGTACTCTTACAATAACATTTATATATTTTTTCTTTATGTAATAAATATGTATTAATTTTAGCATCGCACGCGATCTTAGCAATTGTGTTTGCCCTCATTTAGCCATGTTGAAGTGAAACTTATGTGAATATTATATATATATATATATATATACATACATATTTTTTTTTACGTACATGTGTCTTTAGTGCAAATAAATTGTTCTAGTTTACCAAGTAGTTTAAGAATTTGTTTTCTTATGCAACATTTTTGCGTCATCCTTGTTTGCGATTTAGATATTTTACTTTGCAGTAATAAAATAAGTACCCGTAACGATTTAACATTTCATATCTTGAACAAATGTTGCAATAAAAGTGCAATTTTGCATAATCTCTCTTTCTCTCTCTCTCTCTGTTCGTTAAAATTATTGCTTTTGAATAGCGAAAAGTGAAAGCGCACATTCGTGCTTGTACCTAGTCTAAAGAGAAATATTTCACACCCATTATTTATAGCGTAATAAGATTAAAAAAAAGAAGACAATAAATATAAGCAAAGATGAAAGATTCAAGAGCATGTCGTTATTACTGTGTTCTCCGATGTCAACATCATGTGTGTGACATTCTCGCAATTTATTTTCATTTGTTCATTTAATTGATTGAATTTTTTTATCGATTAATTCTGTGATATTCCCTTTCTTTCATACTTTAACATTTGTTTTGATATTAAATTAATTTTAATTGTGTGATAGTTATTTACTAATAACTTTTGTAATTAACGCGTGCCGCGCGAATATTTGTCGCTTTCGAGGCTTGCATTGGTCAGTCATGCGAAAAATTGTTAATGCAACACTTCCGTAATAATGTAATAGCGAAAGTGTACGCGCAGGGGGTCTCTGCGGAGGCCGCAAGATAAGAGCAACACCTCGAAGAAGAAGAAAAAGCCGCAGGAACAAGAGGGGAAACTGGTCTCTCTCTCTCTCTCTCTCTCTCTGTCGTTACTTTTATCTTTAAATCTTAAGAACAAGTTTCCAGAGCTTGTTACATCAAAACTATACACTTAAAAACAACTACATATCCTTACATTTACATATTAGTTCGTACGTCTACCAAGAGATGGTGTATGTGCTCACAAACATACGCTTGTACAATTATTGTCACTCGCATTTTAGGAAGCATTAGAATTTTTTTTTTTTCATCAAATAATCGCAACACGCATTATTGTATGTCACATCGATTGTAACCGAACGCACAGTGTTGTACATTTTTGTAAATAGAAAAACTCTTAAACGCGCGTTATTTATCATCAGCTCTTTTACAAGAGCCAAAAACGTTGGAGATTGAAAATTGATAAAATTTTATATTTTTGAAAAAAAAACCTATAATGCAAACAACGCGTTTAAGAGTTGAAGCATCACCGAACGTAAATTGTGTAAAGATAATTCTTGTAACCAAATTGTTTTTGTTCGAGACACCGTAATTGCACCAAACAATTGTGTATAGCACTTGCACGCACCGAATTTCTGATTGCAGAATTCCGGCTCGGCGCCGCCCGTCGCCATCAGCAGCCCCGGCGAGCCCCGATTCGTCACTTATTATCAGGCATTAGAGTCAGCTAGCATAAGAAACGAGAATCTAGGCGCTGATGACGTTTCGCAGCGGCAACAAACACTAACCGCCGGGGTAACGAAGGTAGACTCTAACGCTACTGTACCTAACGGCGCCAGTAACGATATTGCTAACAACAATGACACAGCATCAATCACCGCTACTACATCCACCCCAGATACTACCACTATAGACACTACCACCGCCGCCGCCGCCGCACAGTCGGCGGATGTTTCGCTCGATACGAGATTAGATACAGAGAATTCCCCCGGAAACGGTACCCCGGAAACCGTCTCGACGACGGTCGAAACCCCCGCGAATCCAAGCGGGGAAACGACTTCGTCGAGCGTTAACGTCGAAACCACACCGATCCCTAACACGGAACCACCCGGACTCCCGTCTAACGACACGATTAACGCGGATATCTCAAGTACCCCGGAACCGGTCACCACAACCGAAACAATTACGACCGAGGCGTCAACAACTTCGGATTCTTTGTTCTCTACCGAATCTAACTCGGAAGACAGTCGATCTGATGTGAGCACCACGGAAGCAACATTGTCAGTTACCACCACAAACGCAAATGTCACCTTGCCTGCTTCTCAGAATTTAATTTTATCGAATTTATCAGACACAACCGCTTCTCCGATCACCGAGAGCGTCACTGTAACGCAAGTACCCGAAACAACAATGACAAATATTGTGTCAGAGAACATAGAGACGAATACTATAGAACAGTCTGATCAGACGACGCCTCAAGGAGATATCGAGGCGAATATCACGCAGCAGATCGACACGACGACGCCTCAAGCGACAGAAATGAGCGACGTAGTTCCGTCTCAAACAACAACGGAAACCACGAGTACCACCGAGCTGATGACGACGACGGAAGACATTTCGAACGATATAATTCAATTCCAGGCGACGCAAATACCCTTTATAACGACCACATATCGCACGCGATTGATCGATTTCGCGCAAGATATTCTGTCGCGTTTGCAAGACAAGGTCTCCACGGTTGGGACTACCAGTCGGGAACCTGCTACTACGACTACCGGTCCTGAATTGGTCAACACGATACCAGATTCATCGTCGACGAATACTGGAGGTCAAACCGAAGCAACGACGTTGTCGCAGCTAAACGCACAAACAACGACGACCATTAGCACAACGAATGGACCGGCGCAAGAAACAACCACACAGAATACAGTAGGTCGATCTGATGCGTCAAGTCAAGACGCATCGAATACATCCGATTCGACAACGACGACTCAGAATCCGGGAGATTCGTCAACGGAGGCTATGACTGTCACGTTGATGCCTATATCGCGACTCGCAGAAATCGAAAACGAATCCCGATCTAACGATACGTTGCTCTCCGAGCTAATGACCATCGCGAAGACCCTCTTCTCCGAAGCGATGAACGATACGCGAGAAACGTCACTCGTGTCGAGTCAGGTTTCCGATATCGAAACGACTACCGTTGCAGAGGTAAATAATTCGAGTCAAGCTGATCAAATTCTGTCCTCGAACGATACGACGGAAGCGGTCACAGCATCCTCCGAATTTTCAACCCCTCTACAGAACACATCCGAACGTGTCACAACTACTGGTGTAGGATCGGACATTCCGTTCGTAGAATTTAACGCCACCGAAGGTCTAATCGACGATGTCGCTACGATGTCCCAAGCGCCCCCCCTTTCTCAGATAACGATCGAAACACCGAACACGAGAACACCGGTTACGACCAGCATGAATCCCGAATTAACTACTAATACACCCGACTCACAATTTTTTAGTACATTTCAGTCACCCGATACCGATCAGCAAACAACTTCGAGCGCTGATTTCTCGCAACAAGACCAAACTACCCCGAGTAATCCCTTTCTAGATTCTACCACCACCAGTACAGAAAGAATAATGTCCGATACAAGTGAATCCACGACGTCGGATGTGGAAATGGTGACAGAATTAACTACTAGCGCAGTTGTCACGGAAACAAACGTTGTGCAAACAACGAACGTCGCAGATATTACTAATTCATCCGTAGAACCCACCACCGTAGAGTCTGCGTCTGACCTGCAGACGACGAACGATCAATTTCCCGTAACAAGTACATCGAGTACCGCTGCGATGTCCACCACGGTATTCAATGATAACACAACCGATTTACCCGATACGAGCGGTACTCAGCCACTTAGTACAGAGCCCACCGCCACGGAATCGACCCGTGATTTAATAAACATCACTACTAATCAATTCAGTGACATAACAACAAACGCTCCTCAAACGCTAACCGATCTCGTAAGCGAGATGCCAAATCTTATTACCCGTTTCCAGGATACTACGGCAACAACCGCCCAAGGGACGGCTGGTTCAGGAATCACCCCAACAGAACAAACGACTGCAACTATCATCACCACCAGCAACATCATTCCTACTACCACAGTATCCTCAACCGCATCAACCGATTCCTCAACATCCTCTGAGTCCTCCACCACGATAACCACCGCATCTCCATCGGTTGAGCCGACGATAGCGACCACCACGACGACGACGGAGACTCCGACGACGACGACGACCGCGACGACGACAACCGCGACTGTCGAGACCACTTCACTGCAAGCCGACTCCACCACTACTGTCAGACCCACAACCGAAACGACCGCTCCAACTACTACTGTCGACATAAACGAAAACCTTGTCACCGAAACGACAACCGACGCTACAACCACGCAAGGAACGACAGTCGCTCCAACCGAATCGGAGGACCTAAACGAGATCTCAAGAACGGGCGCTGAAGGAGAAACAACAACGACAACAACAACAACGAGTACCGCATCATCTACAAACACGTCAACCACGACGACAACCACCGTGCCAACCACTACGTTGAATCAAGTAACGGCACGTCCAGTTGTTACTCCAGTTGTCACTTCGAATACAAGGCCTTACTTGGGCCGGTTCGGTGGCAGTCAGATGACACCGGCTCCGAGATTCAGTTCCTCCAGTAAAGCGCCCATCCGCGACTACCTGATTTACGGTATTTATCCCAACAAGACGATCGTGCGGAAGCGGCCGGAAGACAATCTGATCGACGCGAGGAACGTAGACAGCCCGTACGTGATATTCGGCATCTACCCGGACGGCCGATTAGTACGGAAGTTCCCGAACGGGACAATAATACCGGATTCGCCCAGGAGCCCGGTCGAGGTTGTGTTCACACTTAGCACTACCACTACTACTAACCGACCAGCACCTAGGCCGTATTATAACCAGGCTAACAACCAAGCGGTCATTTATAATCAGTACCAAGCCCCGGTGTATAATAACCGTAGACCCGTGGACGAGCTGGCAGGAGGCGTCCCAAGCCCTGGCCCCGTTGATTTTGGACTTATTGGTAATGCGATCGGCGTTCCCCCTGGAGATGGCTCCAATTACGCGGGACCACTCGGTGGTCCCTCTGGTAGCGTCCCGAGCACAAACGCAATGGTATTTTTATCTGACTTCTTTATCAAAATCGTATTTGTTTTTTAATTGTAATTGAGAAAGAAATTACACGCTTAGAAAATTGGAACTTTAATCATTCGCAGAGAGAAGTCAGAGTTATACGTGTTAAAACGTGTTATTTATTTATTTATTTATTTGCGATATCTTTATTATAGAATTAATTTATTTACTTATTTTTTAAAATGATCGATTTTTACATATTTGAAAAATTTAATTCCTGTCGATAGACACACGAGCATCCAGTATTTAAATTCGATTCTTTCTATCTGTCAAGCAGTAAAACACAATAGAGTTTCATGTAACACTCTTTTTCTGAATAATCATCATGTAGTATCTCGATAGAATTAACAACTCATTTCTTTAAAATGTAACTTTAGAACTTTTGTCTCTTTATCATTTTCTGATAGATTTTCGTTTTTTATAATACATATACGCTTCTCAATGGCTTCTCAGTTTTTGGCATAACGAGATTAATGAGATGCAACTTTTGCATACTTTTTTTTCAGATATCGAAACATGTAACAACGGCTGTAACGCAAAGAGTGTTATTCTGTAAATTTTGTAAATAGTCGTGGTCACATATTTCACTTTCATTCGCTCACTTGCACTATCAGTTTTGTTCTACGCACTGCGTGTATTTTTGATTTACATGTTTATTATATTGCAGTATCTTATTGCGTGTGTGTGTTTTATACTCACACAAAATATTTTATATTTTGATAAATTATTATAAACATGCGTGTTTTTTTCAAATATTCTATATATAGTAATATATATTTTACCGCAGGCGCAAAATTTAAATAACGTTCAAAGTCCAAATGGCTCTCCTGTCTTCCAAGATCGCGACAGGAGCGAGGCCTCCCGAACTAGAATAACATCCGATCAGCACAGCTCCGTCTACATCGGACAGGTAATATGGAAAAAAATATATAAATTGTGATTAAAAGCGTAAAATTGAAACAATGTAAAACGATAATAAAAATATTTCAGGATAAATTTATTAATTATCAAATCGGCGGCGCGCCTAATCCAAAAGTTGTTGACGTAAAGATAAATTCAGTAGCTGTAAGTAATCAAGTAATATTTAATTAATAAAGACTTCAACAAAAGACTTCAAAGCACAGATCATAATAGTTGACATTTTACTCAGAAAATTATATATCATTTCGTTATAAATTTGTTAATAGACTTCTGTGAACAAAGGCACGGCATCATCTACGGCGTCGATTCCGTCTTTCGAAAATTTATTAGGCAATCAGCCGGGTGGTGTAATAACAGCACCACCCGGTTTTCCCTGGAGAGATCCCCTCGATCAGATATTCGGTATTACCACTAGTTCGCCCGTGCAAACCGCATCAGTAGCATCGAATCAGTTGGTGCGTATAAACAGGAAATTGATGTTAACTAAACAATTTTTAAAATTTTGTTTATCTATTTTCTTTCGACGAATTACTTATAGGACGAATCGGTCGAAAATACTGTATCAATCATGCCGAGTCCTGTGAGTCCCTTAGTGGAGATCTTCACACCTGTTGCAAGTGGCGTGACTCGAACCAATCTCGGAGCGCCAACTACGTCAAGCAATTTACCAACAACGCTTCCGAATACAACAACTTCAACTACTCCCGCAAGTACGACTTCAACTACTCCTGCGACCACAACTTCAACTACTCCTGCGACCACAACTTCAACTACTCCTGCGACCACAACTTCAACTACTCCTAGCACCACCACTTCCACTACTACCACTACACCGGTACCGACTACTGCAGCAACGACCACCGCCGCTACTACAACTACTACCACTACTACGACGACAACCACAACAACTACTACCACTACTTCAACAACAACCACTCCAGCACCGACTACAGCGAGTCAGACAACAACAAGCAGTACTGCACCTACCATTCCTCGGACTGCGACAACAGCTTCTTCCCTAATCACTAACGCTATACCGAGTAGTAGTAGTACAAAAGCCGGTTATGGAACAGTTCCACCACCGTCAGTGACATTATCCGCCAATGACATCGTAAACACGAAAACAAAAGAGAACACTTTTGGATCGTCGTTCGAAGATTTGATCCTACTAAATTCTTTGGTGAGTTATTTGTTAAAAAAACTATTAAGATAGTTTTTACTATATACGGAAAAAATTTGAAATACAACACAAAAATGTTTTAGTTACAGAATGACAATACTAAGAAGTCCACACCAAAAACGTTAACTGATATAGAACAAATGTTAGCAAATAGGGTAAGCAAAACGCTAATGTTTTTAAGCATACAGTATGTTCTATATATATAAAAAAAAAATCGAACAATTCACTTTTTTGGCAGATTTTATCGCTTGCGCTGGCTAAATCTGAACCTGGACTAGTGCGAGAACCGAAGGCAATTCAAACCGCGAATGCGAACGCAAATCTCAATGTAATTGAAGAACTGCCGCTACGCGGGCCATCTTCCGAACCGATAATAATCGATTTATTACCGTATTCTTCCACGTCACCGCGAAATTTGCAATTAAGCAGCAGCAGCAGCAGCAGCACATCAACCACGAAGAGATACACTGAAGCAAGTACGATCGCGTCGACGCAATTCGATATCGTACCTATTTCTTCGACCAAGGCACCAGTCGTTATCACTGCCAAGCCTAAGACGACAGCAAGACCCAAAACTACTACTGCCCGACCCAGATTCGGCATGAATCTGTGGCGAGCGTTGTTCGGTGGCGGCAACTTGTTCGACGCGTCCACGAACACGAAACAGCAGAAACCAGCGAATAAAGCGGTGACTTCTACTCAAAAACCGATTACTCAGAAACCGATACCATCGACCACGCACACAAGTCACATAATGTCCGCGGCTCCGGTTAAATCGCACACAACGCCAAGAAGCGTGGACATCTCGGATATTCACGTGGCCTCGACCAATTCGTTCGTAGACAACGTGGCTGCCGCATCGGTTTCCACGCCGACCACGATTTTAACCACAGAGACGCTCCTAAATAATCCAAATCCTAGACTCACCAATGTTCCTACGTCGACTTTCTCACCCGAGGATGACGCGAAGTTCTTGATCGCGCTTCTGCGAGCCGTGCAAACAGGTAGATCAATCTGGTTTTTTTTTTTGAAAACTTGAATCTTATTGCACAAATGCATTTAAAATTTTTATCTTTGGTTTTATATATTGTTTCTTTTTTTTTCTTTTAACTAGAATCGAAACCGAGTACTTCATCAACGGCAACAACCGAGGACGACGAAGCCTTTTTGAGAGCAATTTTAAATAATCAGGTCAAGATTACCACCACAACCATGGCACCGGGGTCAACTGAAGTAAATCCTGCTGCTCTGTTGGCGCAACTTCTAAAGCAGCAGGGCATAGAACCCTTGACACCAGCGATAAATCTTAGAGAACAATTGGAGTTAGCTGTGAGTAATTTTCTTATTGAACAAAAATTAAATTCTAAAATTGTGTACGATTTTGAAATGCCATTTATTTGCGAATTTATTATACTTTGATTAGAGTCAAGGCTTGACCACTCAATCAGTTTCGACCACTGCTCAATCAACGACCACCAATCGTCCAGTCCTAAGTTCGAGCACTCCATCGAGCACTACAACGAGAAAAGCAACAGCAAGACCAACTTCCAGAAGAACTACACAAAGACTACAAACGACGACATGGTCTCCTAGTTCAACGTATCCACCTCCTCTCTTCAGCGGAGACTCAGCTAGTGGTATAGTCACGGCTACCAGAGCCTTCAGCCAATTTCTTGGCGCTGCCATTTCGGTAAATATTTCTTTCAGACTATAAAATTTGAAATAATTATCTGTCACATTATTAACACCTTTGTGTTTTAGGGTGCGGCTCAACAGTTATCATCCTTGCTGAGAAATGGTACCAGAAACGGTTAAATAAATTAAAATAAAAGTGGACAGCACATCAAGTCTTTGCCCAACATGAGAATAAATGTCAGGATTAAAATGGCAGTTGTCGATTAACTGTCATTATTAAAAGCTCAGTAATGGCAACATATAAAACTGACAAAAAGTTAAGAAAATTTACATTATAACACAAAGTGAACACGTTGCTCAATTACTCTAAAATGTACTCTGTACTAATATTCGTGATAACAAACTTTGAAAGTATATCGTTCCCTTTTGTTAATGAAAGAAAAAAGATTTTTCCCGAAATGGATTAATATTAAAAATTTATATTGATATTAATGTTAAATATTTTTTTCGGATTTTATAGTCGTGATGTGAATGACACTTTCTTTTAGTCTTTATATAATAACTTTTAAATCACTCGATTGCTGTGTACATAGAGACAAAGTTAGGATATGCTCGATTTTCTGATCGAACATTTCCTACTGATTTCTTGCTCTAAGAAACAGTAATAATCTATTTAATTCGTCGTTGTTGTAATTACATTTAACGACGGTTTCGAGTGTATAATTGTCTTATAACGCTTTGCAAACGTTTCCAGAGTAGGTCTAGTGTCGACTTTCTCCGGACACATACTTATGGAGATGTTTGTAACGGTTGGTCGTAATTAAGGTAACACGTACGTTAGCGCGACGTTCTTCACGTTGTTGATTCTGCTATCGATGCGTCTCGTTTTCATGGTTTTTTTCTTAACTATAAAAAATTAAATCAATTTTATATATTCTAAAATTTTGGCATTAAATAAATAAAGGATCTATCATGAAAACGTTTCTGTGTAAAACAAAAAAAACAGCTCCGAAACGAATCGTTGCAGACGTAGCGAGAAACGGAATATACGTGTTAGATCACACATGTGTAAACCTACAAACAAAGTTATCAGGGAAATATATTTCGACAAGAGCTGGCGCACCGAGAAACTCAAGTAAAAACAAAAGAAGTAAGTCTGAAGTAAAGAGAGAGAGAAAGAGAGAGAGAAAAAGTTGCGAGGTGTTGCATAGCGCGTGGCGCGATTTACAAAATACAAATTTTTCCTGCCATATGTGGAAGTTTCTTTGAGCATGTGTGTCTGTGTTGCGCTGATAGACAGTACAGTATTAAAGCATCATGTTTTGATAAGAGGTTGCTCTAATCTATAATTCCGAAAGAAACAATGAATGATGCATCCGAGAACGATTACACGTTGCACTTTTTAGCTGGAAGAAGTTATCGGGAATGTATGTTCGATAAGAAGTGAGAGCGCGGATTGAAGTATACGTAAGTTGAGAATTCAGGATATCAGGAGAACAGTCAAAACAGCGTGTAAAGCGTGACCTCCGAGAGATTACAAGTGCGCAAATTTTAAAATGTTAATTGTTACTACACACATATACGTAAAAAAAATTTAGTTTTTACATACGCGGGTTGAGAGTATTCTTGCATTACGTTCTAATTAGGTTCGTGCGAACAATTGTAATAATGTTGCTTGTATTCAGGTCGCATGGATTTCGTAATAGAAATGCTCAGAATAATAATAATAATAATAATAATAATAATAAAAAAATGACTTAGCGGTAAGATATATGTAATCGCGCGCGTGCGCGCGCGAATGTGTTGGTATTGTAATAAAGATGGTTGTGAGAAACGAAGATATTACATGTATATATATATACACCTATGTTACATCTATCATATAATTTATCAATACTCGGGACTTGAATCTCTGTTTAATCAGCTGCTTGTAAATAAAATGTTGTACATCATGTGCGATGATAATTTGACTCGTAATTTATTTGCTTATGTTTGCTATGTGTACCGAGAGAGAGAGAGAGAAAATTCGTAAGTAAGACAACAGGTAATATCGATTATCTTTCTTTTCACATAATATTGTTTTTGTTTATATGCTTGGATTATTGGTATTGCATAACCATAATAAGTCTGTACATATGTATAATCGATTATTACACACTATTTTATATATATATACAGGGTGTCCCAGAATGGCCGTACAATCTCTCGTAGGCAGGTAGAAGGAGTAAAACTGAGTCGAAAAGTCTTATACCATTTTGCTAGATTCGCAATAGTTACTGAGATTTTAATTAACAAAGATCCGCGAATAA